GGCAAGAAGCAGCAACACTGTGCATCAAACAACGAAACCATTTCCAGATTATCAAAACATGCTGTTGAACTGAATTCTGCAGCTGCGTTTTCAAATGTACCATGGGATGCATCAAATCCAAGGATGCCTTTCCAGGTTCAAATGCTATCCAGGATGAAAGGATCGGGGAAGGTAACGAAGGATGCACTGGGGAGAAATCATCACTGATAGCAGTGAAGGTGGATGAGAGAAGTCCATCAAGCACTATAGTGCTAGACTATGCACACCGTCTCTCCCGTGAGATTCTTGATCAGGCGGTGAAACAGTGGGCAGTGACTGAAAGCAAATACAGCGACATCCCTTTTATTGAAAGTGATGTGCCCTGAGCCCTGACTGGCAAGGACTGTCTTCACAGTGAGTGTCCTGTCTGTTAAGCAGTTTGTATTTGGTACTAGTGCAAATAAAGTAAAATCAGCTGTGATTTGAGCATAATGCCACTATATGAATGTTTGCAAGGAGAGGCTGAAAAAATTTGCCTTCTAATCTGTATTGCTAAGAAACTAATTGGATTACAGTAGAATCTATTAATCAAGTGTCATTTGTTATTGGCCGTATGTTGAGTATATTCTGTCTTTGTATGTGTTGAATGTGATCAGAAATTAGTGTTAAAAAAAGAGGATGAGAAGAATGTGGCTGCCCTGCAACTGTACAAGCACTGCCACAGAGGCCCCAAAGATGCTTAACAACAAAGCGTGGATTATTTTTATGTACTGCATAAAAAAATCACTGGCCAGTTTGTAGGTGAAAAGAGAAGAACTCTCTATGCTTGGCAAATTTGTCCGCATTTTGCTAAAGTGAAACCAAGGTCTGCATGTAGCAAAGAAAACTGCTGTCATAAATTTTACTTTGATTCTTTGACCTGACTAAATCTGTAAACCACAAAATAATGAAGGTGATGAGAAGCATTCTATAAAACCAAGCAGTATTCAGGGAACCATATGGATTATGATACTATTCAACTTCCATTCTTAAGTGAACCAGTGAAAAACATTACAATATTGATAAACAGTGCATTATAATTAACAGATGCTCTGGCTTCTGTAAATGCATGAAGGCTATTCTCGAAGATCCTGCAGTAAGATAGTTTAACGACACCTGATCACTGTGTTCGGAACAAGGCTGTTCGGGTTTTTTTGGTTTGGGGTTTTGGGTTTGGGGTTTTTTTTTCTGTTAGGGTGCTGGTTTTGGGGGGGGGTTCTTTTGTGTTTTGTGGTTTTGTTTTTTTTCTGTAACCCAGATAGTTGTGCAAAAACTACTGAGGCTAACTAGTGAAATGAACCTTCAGGGGCGTAACAATGTTTTAGGACTATTTGTTTCATGGGACCTATGGCTGCATTACACTAAAATTTCACTCTAAAGTAACACCCTTGGGACAGTATACCTTCCTTCAGCTTCTGTAGGCTCATCGCTTACCTGCTGGTAAAACTGTGTATGGGGATGCAAATATGAGCTACAGCAACCTAAAGCCTGAGCCATGCACTGAATTAGTGAATAAGCCTTAGGCCGAAAGCTAAAGGGCTACATTCTTTACCGGTTTGATCTAGCTTGCATCCACACACTGCACCCTGCCTCTCCAGGACTTGCAGCCTGACCTACTGCACTCATAACTAGCATTTGAGATATCAAGAAAGGCATAAATTAATCATAGCCATCTTAAAGCTGTAATTTTGCTGACATTTTATACAAAGTGAATGCCTTGTAAAAGCTTGGGTTATTAGCACCTGTTTGTTCCTTTTTCTGTTATAGCCAGTTTAAAAGACGTAGGGGTTTTTTCCTAGATCAAAGTGCTTTTCCATTTTATGTCTTCATTTTATAGAAAAATGCTTTCCATACTGGCAAAAACTGTTACTATTTTTAAAAGGTACACGTAGTTCTAGTAAATGATATAAAGCATGATTTTTCAAGCAATGGGAAACAAGCAGAACGAGGACCATGTAAATCGTTATTTTTAGCTTATTCTCAGACATAAGACAGTCTATGAATTGAGCTGTTTTGCAAACTTTCTGACACAAACTTAGTTATTTGAAGTTCACCTATATGGGGAAGTGGTTGTTATCAAGAGCAAAGGATGAAAAATGCTTCTCTGTAACACAGCACAAGACTGCCATTACTTCAGTCACCAGACTAGACCCTGCTATGAAGACTGTTCTCAGGCTTTTGCTGAAAAAGGGAACAAAATCTGCTCATGTTATAACGCCTGGTCTATGAAGTAACATAGTCTTTGAAACCACATGTAAAGTGGGACTAAGGTATTATGGCCCATTTAAATTCTGCTGCTAACAGTGATGTTCATTGAAGCTCTAAACTATGTAAAACATTAGATGATACCCTACATTTGCTCTATCTAAAAAAACCTCTGCTGCATACTTGGGTGAATTAAAAAGCAAAACCAAAACACTGATCAGATCAGTACATATTAACTGGATATTGCTTAACCATAGTATTAAAAAAGATTCCTATTCTTATTATAGCTAAAATAAAGCTTTATTACAAAAAAAGGCCAACCTTTCTGTAACGTTAGTCTTGACTCAAGAATGTTAACATTGCCAAAGACAGTAATTAAAAAAAAACAAAACAAAACAAAAAAAAAACAGAAAAAGAAAAAAAAAAGCCCAAACTCCATACCATAGACATATTACCAGATAGGTGAATAGCAGATAGAAAACAGCACTCGGTTTAGGAGTGCATTTAGGTATATCTGTCTTGACCCTTGTACAAATACCTTGGTGGCTGCCACAGGGAGTTAGGTGTTCCAATGTCTCACATCCTTTCTTTGGATGTAGCCTTAGCATCTGACACTCTTCTGGAGTCAGTATAACAGATGCACTTTTGAAACAGCTTCTCTATTGGCAGGCTGCCACTGCACAGTCCAACAGCAGGCAGGATTATAAAATAATATAAAATAGCCTAAAGTCACATCATCGTATCTGTACTGATAAAGACTCAAAATTTCCTCAAAGGAGAAAGTTACCTAGGTATAATTAAACATGCATTGCAGTGAGCTTCCTTTTGGAATACTTGCTGTGTGGGATAGCTGCGCTGCTTGCTCAGAGAGCCACCCATAACGCGATAGCGACTGAATCACCTGCTGCTTGTTATGTCCAACCAGTCCTTACCTGCAACAACAAAGCTTGTCTTCCCTCATTAATGCTTGAAGATTACAGCAGCTTCAATATGGCCTGAAGTGCAATTCCAGCTGGTTTATGATGCTTTCTATGACATTGGCACTTCAGGAAAAGCATGCAGCAAATGGAAAGCAAATAAGCTTACAAACAACAGGGAGACAGCTTCTCACTAGGAAAACAATCTCTTACAGGACACTGTCCTTAAAAAATAATGCGCTTACTCTTAATAAAAAAAAAAAAATTATATCTGTTCAATACTACAATCTGGTAATAGATCAAAGGAGATCTCTTGCCAGAGTTCTGCTGTATTTTTAATACATAATACTAACAAATATAAAAAATTCTTTACCTAAATAAAATTACATCTGTTTACTTATCATTAGATTACTCTAAGCTGTCCTATAGTCTTATAAATCCACTTACAGTGGCTTTCCAACTAAGTTGCCACTGATTCTTTGACCTGACTTTGTGTAATAAAGGCACTCCAGTATGGGACTGGCATACTTCGCAAAACCGTTTACTTCTATCTAGGAGTTAAAAATACATATGCTTTATATTTTCTCCAGGAAACGTAAGTATAGTCTGAGTGGGTACAATGTGACTGTCTTGATATTCTAATAATGGTTCAAAACACATTAACTGCAGCACAGCTTTGTAAAATTGATATTTCTGGAGTAAGACACATCAGTATTCCCAAATAAAACACACTACAATATATTTTTACAATATTTTTTCTGGAAAATATTTTCTTGTGGACCAAATAAAATTAAACTTACCATCTGCTTGTATGACTTTTATTTGATAAAAATGCACAGATTGGACAGGATCTTGTTACCGTGAGTTTGGGTAATTCCTGTTCACATAAATTTTGGAAGCAACTGAACATGCAAGTCAAAGTTTATTGATTCAGAAGTATACTCTTGCTAAAACGTTTTAAGTCCTTTTCAATCAGAGAAGGTATGATCCCTGCTTCCTGGGGATTACTGTGTTCTTAAATATAGTCGCTGAAGATTGCTCCTTTTGTACAAAAATAATTGAATGAACTAATTTTTTAAAAATAAAAATACTAATTGTTTAAGAATCTAAAACATATAACATTTTTAAAAAATAAGGGGCGTGGTTTGCATTTCTTACAGAACCAGCATGAGGTAGAAATTCAAGTCAGATTTTCAGGATTACCCAAAAGGTATTAATGAAATCTCTCAACTGCTTTTGAAAATAAAATCAAGGACTGTCTCATAACAAAGTTGTACATGGTAACATTAACTCACAGCTGAAATTTTCACAATTTTATCTTAAAGATTCTAGTGACAAAGCAAGGTGCCATTTTTTCTTGATTTTGCTCTCCGTTTTGCTCACCTCTAATTCTTTGAAAGTCACTCTAGTAGTTCACCTTGATGTCTGAATTTCCTGGACTTTGTTTCCAGGCAACAGCTTCTAGGAAGGAAGGAGCCTTAAACCAGTGCAGACCATTACCGCCGGTAACAAAAACTGCCCAATGTTGAAAACTCCGTAACGGTTCTGCTGTAGCTCTGACTTTTTGATTCCCCAGTGTTGATTACTGGCTACATAATTTGAACAAAAGTTTTCTTCTTTTAGTCCCAGTGGTTCATCAGAGAGTCCAAAATTTGTATTTGTGACCTGCCTATAACTGTAGCAACAAGTAGGAAGAGATACTGATACATGATTTGATTAACCATAAAAAAGCATGCAGTCTTACTGTTGAAGAAAGATTAGTAGCGATGTGTTGCATGCACAATAGAAAAATTAATTTTATCCCCCCCCCAAAAGATTATACTTTTATCAAGGGGCTCTGGTTATGTCGTGTAACTTCAAGTATTATTAGTATCAGAACCCAGCAACCTTTAATGCACATACAACAAGGGGGTTTTGATGTATATTTAAATTTTGATTCCAACAAATACATTTGTTAGGATATGTTGTGTTAAAAACCTATACGATCCATGTAGCAGCAGATATTTCACCTTTTCCCCTATTATCTTCAGGACGTATTGCTGTGTTCCCCCTACTTTTCACAAATTTTCCACCCAGCAGGCAGGATGTTCATGGGCACAAGCAAATGGCAACTCAGACTAGTTGGTATAGATAAACTCCAGCCACTTGCAGTATTAGGGCCAGGCTGACCTCTACCACTAAAATCATTAGACAATCACTCACATCAACAGGAAATGTGCTGCTTAGTTTTCAGAGGAAGGTCTGAGACAGTTCTTTCTTTACCACTGTAAGACCAGGAAAAACTAGCAATTTTTGAAATAATGAAAAACTAATTCTGCAGTTCAATCAATCAAGCTTAATGGCATTTAAAAAATTTGGTTTTACAAGCAAGCAGAAGTGTGCTCCAGGCTCTGGCAATATTATGACATTTGAAACAATGTCTGCATCACATAGCAAGACTGAATACTGACCAAATGTTAAATCAATAGAACAATTCCTTGCTCTCAGACTAATAATGTGTTAGTCTGACCTTTTATTTAAAAGACTATTTAACACCATGCATTTAGCACGTCTTGCACTTTCCTTTGTAGCTCTGTTTTAAAGCTTTAAGTATATTTTATTTTCATTGTTTAGAGAAGAATCTAAGGCACAATCCCAAGTTAACAGATCAGTGACAGAGACAAGAACACAAAGGTCTCCTGACTTCTTGCTTATTAGGTCATCCCTTAACTATGCTCTCTCCCCAAAGGTTCCTCCTAAACTAAGAGTTGATGCAGAAATTAAATGTTAATCATTGTGTAAAGCAGTAAAAATAACAATTTGCCTTGAAGTAATTTTTCCCCTTATTAACCAGAGATATTATTATTTTGCCATTATGGCAGCATAACAAAAGAGCATGTTCCTGAATGCAAAAAATTAGACTTACAAATCCCGGGCTAGCTAAAAGAGTCTTGTCAAGCTTTATCATACTGCTATTAAATTTTATATCATAGAATTAAGCAGATGTATAAGATATCAATAGGCTTGATCTTTACAACTTGAGATCGTTGTTTCCCAATGGCTTAAAACAATCGTCCAGAAATTCATCACTGACTTCTTCTAGAGCAGCTGGCTTCCATCTGGGGGATTGGTCTTTGTCAGTCAGCACTGTCAGGTGGAGTATAAAAACACAAAAGTTATTTGTAGACTTCCTCTAATTAATATGACTTCAGATTGCATCCAGACAGACAACTACAGTGGATGCATGGGGGAGAAACATCAATATGCTCTGGAGAAGACAGTGGTTTTGTAACATATGTATTTCTACTCTAACAAAAATTCTTGAGTTGTGACCTGTCTAGAGACATATCTGGGAATTGCCTGATGATACAAGGAACAGTGAATCACTTCAGAAGTAGCCCAAGCTTTGAAGGAATAGACCTGACATTAGTGCTTTCTGTTGGACCTACTACTCTTGCCTGACTTCTGCTTTTTCATGTGAAACTGGGAACAGTGCATGATGCTCCTTTTGTACAAGGACTTCCACACCTCTGTGCAAAATCTGATTCTTTGTAGAGTATAGGAGATGACTCAAAGTAGGTGTTAAATGCCTAATGCTAATTGAAACACATCATAAAAACTAATAATGAAATAATTGATGAGGAAAGAGTAAAGCAGAGTATCTTTGTGGGAGAATCAAGTATATCTATGTGTAAATACTGACAGATACTGCAGACATATGTAGATTTAACTGTGAAGATTTGTATAATCTTAGCACATATACTTTACCCTGTATCCTGGAAAATATGCCACTGAAGATAAAATCATCAGTGAATGAATGGCAAGTAAAAGTATAACAAGAAAATATCAATTCTCAAAAAGCATTCCTTGTATCACGGGAATGTTGAAGGCATGTCAGCAAGAACAGCTGCACTAGCAAACAGTAATGAGACAAGAGTTTATTTGTGTGTAAGAATGACCAGTATGAATGGAATTCCAGAACATCCTTCTGAGCACCCTTCTGGCTCCAAGAAAACCCATAAAGGTGCTATTCAAAATGTGAAATTTTTATAATTAAAAAAGAACAGCTATAGTAACTGTGGCTCTCTGGGATGCACTGACTAGCCAACATCCCTCCTCAACACACATTCCCTTCAGATTTGTGATATCAGCAACTGATTTGGAGATGCACCTGTGTCCTGGGAGACCTCCTGACCAACACAGCCCACAGCATATAAGGGAGGATGGGCAGGAAGCATCTCTCAAGTGCTGCTGCTAGGAATGGAATTTGGTTGTTTGTTTGACAAAGAGTTCAGAGTAGGATGATTCTAAAGGTGTGTGGACAGAAGACACTCACAGAGACTAGATATTTTGAAGAATAACAGCTGGTTTTTTGGTAAGTTTTCATGTCTTTCTAAACAGACTTCATTATTGGTGACTAAACTAGAACAACCCAGGATCAGAAATGTGCAAAGGAGTTGGATTTTAAGTTCAGCGGAAAGAATGCCTACCTAAAGACTGTGTCTTATCAAAAGACAGGTGTTATGGCAGCTTGTGGTAAAAAATGTGTCTTGAAAATTTCTTTTTAACTTCTACCTCTAGAGCTAACACTTGGAAAATGCCTAGAAAATAAATACCATTCAAGTGACAACTGCACTAATTACTATTTCTGTAGCTGAAGACATACAGGCACCACAACTCTTTAGTTTGCATCTCCAAAGAGAAAGGAGAATCAGAGCCCTGCATCTACTTACCTGCTAATACAGGACTAAGGACTCCTTGGATACAAATAAACACTAATTTTGAAAAGAAACCCATTATACAGATAGAAGCTGCAATTCCACAGAGAGTAGAATCCATGCAGGCAATTCTTTAAAACAAATATGCTGTAGAAAAGTGATTTTTACCAAGTCATTCAACTGGGTAACTTACTGAAAAGTTATGATCCTAGAAGTTAATTTTAAACATTGTGATGCAAAGCCATTGATTGGTTTGGGTCAAAATACATAATTGTCCCAAATCAACTTTATTTATTCTATTGGAGTAGTACTTACCTAATGATTTTCTTCAACATTAGTTGAAGTTCACAATCTGGCTAAAATAGTCTTAACTGTTATCCACAAAAGCCAACAATTACTAGAGATGCTTTAAACTGGGGGGGGGAAGTCCATGTATATACTACTACAGCTTCAACTCTGAAATACAGTAGTAATTGCTGATAATTCTCTACTGTGTAATCAAGTTAATCTTTCTGTTTGGATCTGTGGCCAGTTTTACTCTGGTGGATAAACTGAATGCTCATAATGGTCTCTCCAATGAAATCTTTAATCTTATATGAGTTAAAATAGTTGTTTTCTAATAGTGTTGTGAAAATATTCCCTTTCTGCATTAATTTCTGTATATTTTGTGTTTCTCCAGCTTGAGATATCAATCACTACACAAACGGAACAAAAATCCTGAAGACTTCTAAGGTAGGCTAAGGGAAGTTCATTAAGATAAAAGTAACTGAACATAGACATTGTATTAAGGGTTTGTTCTTGTGTTTTACCTTTAAAAAAAAAATCCAACCCCCTTCTGTTTAGTAGCAGTGACTTTATTGGACTTCAGTTAGTGTTCTGTTAGCTTAGCTTCATTCAGCACAGTCAAAACACTGATATTTCTAAGTACCTGAAGTCCTGTTAGTTGCAATGAAATCTACCTACCTACCTGCTGACTGCAGGGGGTTTGTGTGCCCAAGGTAAGGCTCACATCTGCCAGCTGCTAGCACTGCAGGAGACAAGGCAGAAGCCATATGGAAATAAGATCTTTGCAGGATCAGCAATACGTAGAAGGCCTTTACAATTCCATTTGAAGTGTACCTTTCTGCACAAATAGTTAGGAAGCTAATTTAAGAGATTTTTATCCCTTCAGGCTGCTGAGATTGTTGTCTACCTGGATGTGTTTGAGCACTGACTCCAAAAATGACTGCTTTTCTTATGCAGTAAGAATTAAAAAAAACCAAAATTCTCAGAAATTACTCAGAGCTATGCATTTCTTAGTTTATGTATTATTCTATAAATCAAGGTGAAAAATGGATACCTAAAGTGTTCAAAGACCACATTTACCATTATATGGGAAAATGTTGATGAAATGTGATCTGTGTATTTCATGCCTTGAGGGTTTTGGTTTTCCTGTAGTGGCTCCAATCACAAGAATCATAAATGGGGAAGACTGTTTGCCAGCAGATTTTTCAGTCTGGTTGAAAGAAAACTGGCTAAAAGAAAAATGAAATTTTGACCTCAGGTCAAAGCAGGTTTAAAAAGCTTTTAAACAAACTACTTCCCTAGCATGCCTATTAAAATTATGGTTTGAAGCAGATAAAAGCTGTTATTAAAACCTGACCTATGGCCACTGTTGCTGAAAAACAATCTTCAAAAACTAAAATCTCATTATTATATCTTTACTTTGTGGTAGATCCTCTTGTGGTAGACAGGGTCAACAGCTGTCTCTTAAATGCTTGGAATGTAATGTTTTAATAAAGAAAAAGCTAATACTTAAATCAACATTTTTATCATTTTTATTTTTATCCACTATGGTTGATCCTGTAAATACTTAATAGTCTTACTTCCTGTTAAAAAGGATGCTCAGTACATTGTTGGATAATGATTTTTGATATTAGACCCAACTACAAAAGTGATCTTTATCTTGAGTGAGAATCTTCACCACTCTTAAACAAGAGAAACAATTTTAAGATGATAAAACTGAGGACAAGATAACATGCAGCAATCGGAGAGAAAAAGTACTTCAAGAACAAATTATTATTCTTAGCAATCCCCTTAGTGCAGCTGGATCTCTGGTGGTGGGGTGTTTTTTTTTCCTTCCCCTGATAGAGTTAAGCCTTCGCTACATCATCCTATGTAAAAGAAAGCTTCCCAGCTGCTGTTCTTGCAGCTTCTTTCTTTACAAGCAGTTTGTGTAATTTACTGGCCATACTGACAAGTGATTTGCTTTTGTCCTCTACCGCATCCCCGCATGATTTAATGACCTTGTGCATTACAAGTGAGAATTTGGTTTGGTGTTCATCTGACTCTCAGACTTTGAGTTTCTCACTTCCTGAATAACTACATTTCAGCAGCTTATATGGTGATTTAGAATATATCTTAAAAAGAATATTCTTAGGATATCTTTGTCCCCATTACCAACATAATGAAAACTATGTACTTCTCAACATATGTGGTAAATTCTTCAGAGGACTCTCTGCTAATAAGTGCTGAAGATTAATTAAGATTGGAAACTTTTTCCATGCTGTACAAACAAACTTTGCATCTCTTACCCCAGGCTATCTTTAATACAGTATTACTAATAGTGAACACAAACTAATATCCACTACTCAAGTGGATTTTAAACTACTTTAAAAAGACAGATATCTGTGTGAATTAAAAGCCAGGTTCCCTCAACCCCAAAGAGTTATTCATCCAAATGTCTTGTACTGTAAGCTCCTTGGAAAAGGAAATGCCTCTTTGTTTCATCTTGTGCTGAATAGTACAAAAATAATTATTACAGTTTCTAACAGATGTGACACTGGGTTTGACAAACTGCATAGTGAATCAGCAGTAGAATCAAGGACAGAATATAAGTCTGTCCCCGAGATGAACTTGCTGAGCTGCTGCTCTACTTTTACCACTACCTATCTTGACCAATGCCTTAAAATGCTGAATTATTTAACATTAAGCTTATATATATAGTTTTTTAATAGTAAGAAAGATACCTCTATACAGAGATATTTTGGACATAGGTGAAAGTAGTCTCTGTTCTAACAATTTTCTGCACAAACAGTTGTTCTTGTCTTTGAGTCTTAAACCATCTTACAGCTGGCTGAACCAGCTATGTGACAACACTAAATCTGGACACACAAATGATACAGGTAGCTACTCGCTACTGTCAGTGTTAAATATATTTTGAACTTTCCCAATTAACTTCTGAAACCTTTTCATGGTGCTGCATTACCAGGTGGATAAATAATGTTAGGAAACTGAGATTATGCATGGCTGTTACACTTTGGAACAAATAATAAATTTTGGCCATACAGCAGTCCAATAAGCAAAAACTGTAGTAAGCTGGCAAGTGTTCTCTGGGCTGTTGCTGCATGCACTTTTCTTATCTCCAGAGAAGCAACACAACAGTGAGTTTGCATATTAAGGTTGAGAAATGTTCTTGGTGTGCATGCTTACCTGCTCGAACCCCTTCATAGAAGTCATGGCCTCTCTGAAAGATTTAAAAAAAAAAAAAAAAAAAGGCTATAACATGACAGATTCTATTTATCCCATCTCTCCCTATCCCACTTCTGCTTGAAATGCAAGTTTTCAAGATTCAGTTAAATCCCACTTGTACTGTTCTCATCTAGTCCTACTTTCTCTTTACTTATTAAACAGCTCTATATCCTCTTGCTTAAATGCAGCCACAGCTCTTAAAATCAGTCTGAACTGTAGTTAATCAGCCCACTTTTATGCAATGTAAGTCCTCTCTGTGTTACATCTCATAGATTTTTCTAAGGAGTTTTGCATGATGGGGGCTAAGGTGTATAGGATCAGAAATTCTTCAGAGTAGGGCCATTCTTCAGGAATTGTGATGTATTCTGCAAACTTGAAACACTTTGCAGTTAAATGGAATCCTGGAAAGATCCAGTTATTTTTTATAAAAGTAAACATAGCATTTCAATCCCTAAGGATGCTTCACTAGCAATGGAGACATAATACTAGTTTCAGGAAAGATACAGCAAGGATTCTGTCAGGCACTACAACGTAGCAGAATTAGATAAATTTTAACATATATTTTTTTAAAGCATTTACTTTAACCATCACAAATCATTTAATCAGACACACAAAAATCTTATTTTAAAATGTGACAAAGCTAATAATAATGATACCATGGGGAAGCTTTTTGAGGAATTCATTCAGATAATTCAGTTAGCAACTCTGTTCTACTGAAAGGGTCACTTCCTCATATGTTATCCAAGTACTCAGACCTTACTACAAATAGTACTAAAACTTCTTGTTTTCTTTAATAGATTTATCACAGCACTCCTGAAAGGCAATGATACACAAGTATTCCCATCCTGATGGGAACTGAGGCAATGAGAACTAAGTAATTTAAATAGGAAATCTGTTCAAGAACACCAGGTTTAAAATATGGTCCAAATACAAAACTTTCTATATTGTAACATTATCATAGTTTTCTTAACAAAAGCCCTCTACCATTCCCATCTGACCATCATTAATGTAGTCTCCTTCAAGTTGCATATAAAGACATAGAACTGGAAGAAAGAAAGTGACAGCCTAACAAACACACAAAGATACTGAAAATAAAAACCTATAAATTGTGAGCCCTTGATGTAATCTATATAAAACTTAGTCTCTGACGGACTTGCTACCCATCTGTGGCTGGAAAGAGACAAAAGGCTCAGCTGTTTGCTTACCATGCATGCTTGGCTCAGTCTGTACTCCATCATGAGTACATCTTGTAAGCTCATGGAAGCTCCTTCTCTGAGCTGTCGGAGAGTCATCTTTAAGGATGTAGGTGACATCTTATTAATAGTCTGAGGAAGACATTAACAATTACTTTTATTCTCTTCAATTTAGACACATTTGTAAGTCTGTCTTTTTTGCATTTTAAACTTTGTGAAGTAAATGATGGCACTCTTTCCTTGAGCTTACTTATGTGATACCTATTCCTTCTGCTCCCTCCCACCCTGCTGTCACACTAAATGAACTTACTTGCATAAACTTTTATCAGCAAGATCTCTGGGATGTATGCCATGACTTGTGGAAAGCCTAGAACTCCTAAGGTTGCATAATTTATGATCAAATTACTACTAGCTAGAGAACCTAATGCAGTGTGAAAGCCATTTCCAAACAGATTCTTTTGAGAAGTGAAGGCAACAGTTACAAGCAATTATACTCCATTTTTAATTTAATATATATAATCTGAATTGCTCTTAGACGTTACTGACATTGTAGCTGATATTAGTATTGTACAGCATTTAAGTTTTATTTGGTACAATAGTCAGAGTAGTAAGGTAATAGTGAAATTAGCCACAAACTTTAAGTAGTTGCTTTATGATCATCTGCAAAGACTAGACAATATACTAAGAAGAAAATTGTGGAAGAAAAAAAATATTAAAAGAAATCAAATATAAATGCGTATTTGTCCAGGTGTCCTGTCTGGGATCAACAGATACTGCAGCAATTTAGTCCTACATTGCTCCACTGATAGGAAGCTTGGAGGTCTTGCCCTCCTTTTGACAGAGCTACAGGCTATAAATATTATGCAACAGACAGGATCTGTTCAAGGCACACAAACAAATGCTGTAAATCTGGCTCTCATGACTATCCTTCAATTAACAGCATGCCAGTAAACAGTAGGGGGAGGTGGGGAGAAAGACAAAAACCTAGTAAAGAAAACAGAACTGAGCTTTAAAGCTTTCAGGGTTGTGGGGGAAAGGAGCTAAATCTTATTGTTGCTGATCTTTGTTTTCTTGCTCTAAACAAGACTCTTCTTCCCCTGTAAACTCAACTGAAAACTCTGTATTATTCACAGTACAATAGACATTTCCTGTTAATTAGGACATTTTTACCACTACTGAAAAGTGGCAGATGGTAGGATTTGCCTCTTTACGTTATTTTCTTTGTAGACATTACACTCCTTACCCACAGACTGAAATGGCAGGTTTCCAGTCATGAACATTAACGTTTTTTCTGCTCCCAATTACTCTTCATCCCTCTCCAGACACCAGCTGATACAGGAGTGACCCATTTTGCCTAGTTAAGCTGGAAAACATGCAATTGCTATACAAGCAGGAGGCTGTGCAATTGTACCTTAAAAGCTCTGGCTCTGTCATTCTGTTATTTGCATGTTGACCGCTTCACTTGAGAGAGAAGCTGGTTTAGAAAGAACTAATGCTGGCTCAAACTGTCAACGTTTCCTGAGTTCTGGTAAAGCTCTCTAACAATGAGCTGCCTTTCAGCGGATAAAGAAACCAGCTATACCGCTACACATCACTATGTAGGTCTCAGATGGATAGCAACTCTTAACTAGACCCCTTATTTTCCATAATGTGCTGGCTTTACCTTTGAACTGGACCTTTTCTCCTTTGAGTTTCACATTTTGTCATCTAGATTAGAAAGGCTTTGCTCAGACCAGGTTAAACGGCATGCACAGTGCAACCAGATGGCTCCCTAGGTGAAACAGTAATGGCGAGTTCCTTCTGGTCAAAGCAAGCACTAAAATCAGGAAGATCTGAAAACAGCACTTAACTAGTCTAGTGCATCCAGCAGCTGCCTTATCATGGCATATCAATGAGGTTGAAGGTGGAGGAGGCACTGCCATAAATCAAGCTCAAGGAAGAGGAATAAGGCAAGAAAATGGGTAGGTGTAATTGCAGAAAAATGAGTCACCAGTGTATCTATAAATAAATTATCCGTACAAAGAGGAGGAGGGGATCGGTGCTAGGGAACAAGCCTGAAAAGGAAATAGGATAGGCTGAAGTGTGGAGTATTAAAATGCAAAGAAATCTTCATAGAAATATTTGACATCTATTCCAGTTTCTTTGAAACCATCTTGATTTCAACATAATCCTGAAAGCTACAAGCTGAATTTGCAATAGACCCAAATTCCAAAAAGATGTTATCTTTTTGGTGACTGAATTAAGTGGCACTGACTCAGTGGAGTCCCTTACAAGAAAAACAGCTGGAATAGTGGCTGCACCTTTTGTTTCCAATGCCCATTAAAGCTTCTGACCTGAACTGCTGAGGGTCCTTGAAGGAGGCTTTCTTTAACTTAAAAACAAACAAAAAAAACCTCCCAGAGGTCCAGTGTATTACTTCCCTTGCAATAGATGAAGATACCCATCACCTACTTCCTGAAATACCAAAGCATTTTTTCATCCATACCAGACAATGGTTCTGGATGAGCTTTGACAAAATATGAGTACCTAGCCAAAGCATCACAGGAAACCTACTTAAGGACAGTTATATCACTCTTATTGGTCTGCTAACAGTTTCAGAATGCTTCTTTACTTGAATTCAACCCTACCAAGATATCATCCAGCTTTGTTCCTGTAATCTCTCACACCCACTTGCTGCATATCCATTTAAAGTTTCAGGAGCTAGTGTCTGCATCCCAGCCTGACCAGTGGATGTAGTCAAGGTGTCTTGTAAGTCTTAGTCTCTGCAGTGTCTTCCACACTATACTAGAAGTCATTCAGTAACAATGAAGGCTATTAAATCATGAAGTGTCAGTGCTCAGAAGGTGTGCTGTCCTGCCAAAAACAGCTATAAGAAAGCATCATGTGAAAACCAAGTCAAACATCTGATGCTTTTCAGATTTTGACCCCGCATGCTTACTTCATCCAATTAGAAGTGGTATTCTGTCACTCAGATTAAAGCTTTTTGGCTCCTGTAAATCCTGAAAACAAAGTAATGCTATAAAAGGTTTTAAAAATTATTTTATTATGAGTTCAAAAAGTGTGTTAGTAGTCTAGCTTTCTACCTATTTGTAACTGGGCTCAAAATGTGATTTAAATCATGAAGCCATTCTCAAGTAGAATTTTAACAACTTTACATTCTTCTTATTCATGCAAATCACTTTAGTATCAGATACATGAAAGCCTGCCAAGCAGGCATGTTCTGAAAGTAAAAAGCAGAAGTACTGTAGATTGAACAGAACCAGATACCTGGGATAGCACAGCTCACAGCATACTTGGATTATAGCAGAACTAGTAGTTCCATTTTATTAACACTAAAAGGTATCTGCATGTCCAAGGTGTGGATGTGCTAAGGTGTACCTCCAAATTAGGGTATTTGTATTAGACTTTCAGTTAGGGCTTATTCCACAGGCTTACTAATACATTTCATAATAAATACAGAGGGAAACAAAGAAAATAAGCATACACGTTGCTGCCACTGAATCCTTTACAGTCTCTATATTTTTCATTTGAACATGCTGTTGTTCCTGTACCTGGACACTAAAGTAAAACCTTGGTTTCACAAAGTAACAGGAAACTATCGTCTATGGATTTACTCTTGGTACTGTGATACTACTGATGAGGAAAATGACTTGCTTCACAAAAGTCAGCAAACTGCTGTCAATGATAATGTCTGATAATATCAGACTGTCATGGTTTTACTACATGTTCCCTGCTCTAACCAGTTCTTTGAACTCCACTCCTCTGAGCCATGTGACAGCAGGCCAGTGCTCTGTCTGTAGGTGGTATAAAATGCTCAACTGCCAGGGTGCAAGCTACCATTCTTCCTCCAGCTACAATTAAGTTTAATTACAATTCTACTTCCCTAGTAAAACAGCACCTCCAGTTTAACTGGCAAGCATTTCCTGGAGAAAGCCAGATTTATACCTGAATTCCTTTTTAAATTTTTTCCCCCACAAGTACATTTTCCTTCTTCGGTTTTGTGGATCTTTCACAGAAGAAATTAAGTATTTGATCCTGCAAGCTTACTTAATCCTACTGCTTAGTACAGAATGTGTGCTGTTAGAAACTTGTCTGAAACTTAAGTACTTGTTCACATTAATAAGCCTTGCATCTGCTAAAAAATGTGTTTGGTTTTGTTTGTTTTCTTCCCCCCCCCCCAAATTTCTGTATGGACAGAAGCAACTCATTAGCACAGTCTCATCTCCTCAATAGAAGAGGCAACAGACAATTGTTGAGGAACTTCTGTTGACTCCAAGGGCAGTCGTTCATTTACAAATTATAAGAAAGAAAAAAAGCTGCTATAAAGTCCTATTAAAGACATGAAATAAGAAAACCGAAGAAGCAACAAAAGAGCCGTTTTTTTGTTCAGGAATTAAAAAAAAAAATCAGTTACATGAAATCATAACTTTGAAGTAGATGACATAGTTTTAAGTTCTAAATTAAAAATAGGAAACAAAGGTACACCCCTAAACAACAAGGAACAAGAACTTTGGTTTTTTTAGTAGGAGAGATCTGAGTTATGAGGTTGCAGATGAAGGAAGCAAGTTCAGCAGGTTTGGGTAACTAGAGCAAATGTGGCAGAACAAACTGTCTTGTTAACATATTTCAGTAACAAAGTATTTCCAGACTCCTTGTGTATTTTGTAGTAGAAACTGTATTTTGAACAAAGCACCCTTTAAAGGCTATATGCTATTTTAAAAAGTTCCACTAGGTCTGATTATGTTTTAAAGTGCCATAAAATTGTACGAAATTAACTTAGGCAAAGGTATATGCAAGTAATTTTTTATTGTTTTCAACCTCCACTGCAACTAATCAATATAATACCCCTGCAGAATTATATTAAACTTTATAAAATCTACAAATAACATACTGCCTTGTAACTCATTACTGAGTCACCAATAATACTGAGTAACTCAATAAGAGCCACCAAAAGTGACTGCTATTAACATGCTATCGGTCTCAACAAACCTTAATATAAGTACTTTCCCTGCCATCTATAACATAGGGAAAAAGTGAAGAACTGAATCATACAGCCTATATAGTTTGGGAGAAAACCATGATCATAGCCTATAGTAGAAATCAGGTCTACAAACACATAAAATGATTATTCTGGCACTACCTCATTTGACCAATTTATTCTATTAAATTTGAATACAAGCGGGCAAAAAAATTAGCTTTCTCTTTCATTCAGTTTTGCTTTTAGAATACATACGCTAAACTTCCTGCAGTGTACTAGGTGTACTGATTGGCACAAAGATAATTTTAAAACTTTCTTTCTCAAAAACTGTTTGAGAGTTCCAGTGACAAAATGTTAAATCTTTAATTAAGAACTAAAACCAAAAATGTATCTCTGTATCTGGGACAAGATGCCTAATGTTAATGATACTACATTATAAAATTATATTCATTCTGCTCAAACGAAAGTCCAAAGATGGTGGATGTTTTTATTTTATTACAAGAGCAGGATTTCTTCTGTGAGCTGTAATTAAAGTTAAACGAAAGCTTTTGTTGGAGAAATGCTTGTGTTCTATCCAATTAGTAGCTCCAAGACAAACTCTTACAAGGTACCTGAATACAGATACTTCAAAGGAAAAAGAGAAAATACACACACTACTTATAAATTAATATAAGTTGCTTCTTGCTTTTGAGGCTGAAGTGTGTATTATGTGGGTAGTATTACTGTACGTTTTTTGAGTAGTGACTACATCCAACACTTAGAAATGCATTAAAAAGATCAAAAAATGCTTTGTGATGATAAATTGCTTGCTGTTTACCCAAATGAGATTATCTGGAATGGAAAAAAAGAAAAAACCAATAATATTGCTCTGGCACTGTTTTATTCCAACCCTTGGCAATAAAATGAGAAGCTATAAAAGGAACCTTTGTCACCAACATCCCCCTGATCATGGGGAGGGGAAAAGGGAAAGGGAGTTTGTTTTTTTTACTAGATTATAATTTTATGCAACATATGATGGTATTCACATTGTGTCGTTTTACAGAGGAATAGTCTTGTCTGAGTAGAACTACTGCAATCCCACAGGACTATATGTAAGAACCTGAGGATCTCGGTCCAGTGTCCTACTGGTGTTATGTACTATTAGTTATGTTAATAAGGTGATTAAAGTCTGCCCCATGATAAGAAAGTAAAGAACCAGACTTAAAATATCTAACAAAAATAATATAGAAGACATTACCTCTAGCTGCTTAATGGCAAAAGGAGAACCATCTTGCTTTAATTTTTTAACAATTTCTTCCATACTATTTGCTGAAAAAAGACTAAAAGAAAAAAAAAGTTAGTAAATGAATTAACTGCTCCAGCCTTCCTCTTCCATATGAAGTGGTAGTAACACAGAAATTGGCAACAGTGTAACCAGCTGATTTGGCTTTTCTTAGCAATGTGTTCTCTGTTGTTCTGGTTTAAGTAATTCAGTTGACAGGCATCTCCTGTTCCTTTACAAATCTCTAGCATTTCAATAAACCTCACTTACAAACTCTGATATTTATAGAGAAACTTTAATTATTACCATTGGTCTTAGCTAAAGATTTGAAGTGTTATAAAAATACAGATATCAGCTCCATTCTACTGGTTTGGTGTCAACATCTATCATCTCTGAACTTAGTTACTGCCATCCTTCTTCAGAAGTTTTAGCTGCTGCTTATCACTCTCACTTATTTCTCCTTCCCTTTCTGAAATACAGAAGTTCCAAACAATCATACAAATGGCCTTATACCAATGAGTAAATGCGCTATGCAACATTTCCTGTCCAACTGAACAATTACTCTCACAAATCCCCAACCAAATGCTATAGAAAATGTTCATTTTAATATGCCATAGGGTAACTGCTTAATATAACAATGTATGAATCAGGCAAATATGCTCAAGTATTTAAAATACTGATGAGTGAAATATTTAATGAGCTTCAAATAAAGCTCCCTAAAGACAAAAAAGTTTAAATGACTGACTTGAATGTCATTTCTATCACCTTATCTGTGGAACACTCAAACTGTTACAGGATTTAACTTCATATTCTCTATCCAAAAGAATAAAAAAGAGGAAAAATTGCTGAATACCTGTTAATCTTCTCCATATGTTCATCAAGTACAAACTCCTTTTCTTGATCAACTTTGCTCTATTTAAGAAGCAAATACATATTGTACTTGGTTATTTTAGACTGAAAAGCTTATCACTGAAAAATTGCAATGACTTGTGTTACAGAAATATAATATTATAAATGAACATTTAATATTCATGACAGATTTTTAATGAATTACAATTTTGCAGTGTGTATAAATGAACTTGTCATTTTATCTTGCGAATGTTAAAGATGTCACGCATATTTGACTGGGTGGTTATCTTGTACACAAGTAATCATGATTATTCTATCAATAACTTTCTATCAAAAATGTTAAGAAAGCCAGTGTAGATACATCAACTCAAAAACCTGAGAATGTTTAAAAAAAAAGTTTTATTATCTTAAAAAAATATACAGGCATGTATATCTGTATTTAAAAAAAAGGACAAAAAATACATTTCTCTTCCTTATCTTTTCTCTGTCACTTTACGAAATTTTACTTAGCTAAAGAGCATGAAAGATCTGTTGGCCTTATGTGGAAAGGCTGTCAACTGTTTCATACCTTCTGGCATTAAGGGGCTTAGGGCATAAGCAGATGTTTCAGTAACAGCACTGAAGCTGAGAAAGGTTCCCTGTCATTTCAGCTCTGCTAACTAAAAATACACAGCTTCCTTTTCCACTTAGTGTCATCTTGTAACATGGTATACTGAAACACATAGTCACTCCTATTTCATAGCTTTCTATTTTGTCAAAATAATCAGCACTACTATGTAAATTAGCTTATCCCATTTATTTTTCTAATTAATCTTGATATATGAACTTAGTAATTCCAAAACAGAAATAACAAGAGTAGGCACTGCTCATTTTAAAGCCAAAGAACTGGGGAGTAATACTTAGATTGACTGAATATATTGAATCCTGATTTGACTCCGGAATTTTCCTTTCTTTTGAAATAAAATTACAATGCACATCAAAACAGCTAAAATAGGTACTGAATAACCTGATTGTAAAGCCAAAACCTTTTATTTTCATGCCCAGTGTTACATGCAAATACTGATTATATATTAACAATACAGTTACATTCACCTCCAAAAATCAACAGAGAACTAAGGGTTTGCCCACTGGGAAAACAGCATCTTTCTCCCCCTGAAAATATTGCTTTAAGACCTCAGATGCTTTCCCTACAATGTATCTGTGCTCTGCTAATGCTTACCCTATTGATAACTGCAGTGCTTATTCACAGTCTTTCAATTATCTCAAAGTTACAAACATATAAGATATTTGGGAAATTAAAGGAACAACTTGAACCTTTAAATTCAGGCTTCAAATCTGGACTGCAGATGGTCTGCATCAAAATAATGCTAAAATTTGCATCAAATGCATCAAGCTAGCAAAATATTTCTTAAGGTCAATAAAGAGAAAGTTTCTAGGATGGAAACATAACATCCACTTCAAGTGAGCAGCATAGCATTTAATAATGGGCACTATAACTTCTGCAGCCTCTGGACTAGGCCAGTAGTTCTACCCCTCTCGTTTGTGTTCGTCAGAATCCCTGAATTTCAGGCTAACTTCTCATATTGCACTTGCCATCATGTACAACTCCCAGTCTGCTAGTGGATATCTATTTTGCCTTCTGCAAAGCATGCTAGAAATCCAAGAGTAACAGGGGAAAAATTAAGCTGCAGTATTATTTTCTGCATCACCATGCTACTGGCTGGAAACTTACATACACACATAGAAAGAGAGCGAGCTGATCACAGTTGGAATTTGAGGGGTATCCAAAATGAAAAAAAAGTGAAGAAAGACTTCTAAATTTTAATTTTGACCACTGTAGGCATTAGAGCTTCAAATCAGTATTTTATGGAGTGCAAAGAGTTTGGAAACCCATTATTTTTTAACCATAGAACAAATGATCATTAGCATGGATAAAAAAGAATATGTATTTACATATTTTAACAATTCTGCTTGATTTCAGTAACTGATCAGATTACCTTCACATGGTAAGAGTTCAATAAGTCTGCAATATTTTCTGTTGAAGGAGATTTCAGTGCTATCAGGTCTTTCTCTAAGGCAGGTAGCTATTAAAAACAAGATTTAATTAAAAGCAAGTAAAACAAAATGTACTTCTTCGATTATTATTGCTATGGTAACAGTACTATATAGTATATCTGTATATAAACACCCCCCCCAACTTTCAGACAGATCTTAAAGAGGTACCAAGTAAACAATACAAGGAGCCAGAGTTCACTCTTCAGTATTGAACCATCTGGATTTAATTATGTCTGCAGTGATCAGCAAAGAACTCTGCTTCCCAAGCAGACACCAAATGCAGTGCTACAGCTGCAGCAGGTAAAGCCAGCCTACAACAGTCTGACAGGAAAGACCAGGAGCCTGGCAACCATGCTATGCTCAAAACGGTATCTAACTAGCTCCACAATGACAGTCATGGGTCTTTACACAGAGAAGGAAAGCAAGTCATTGTGTCTCCTTCACTTATGTCCATGCAAGTTACTGGAACATTATGACTCTGACTTTATCAAATATACTAATTTTTACACTTTCTTGCAGCCACTGTAAGAAACAAATAGGATATCTGTTAAGAAGAATGATAAAGAACACATTAATGGAGTGTTAACCTAGATTAAAAACTTTGCAGTTGTATAAATAATCTCTAATTTCAGATACTGTTGTCTAGATTGTACAATTTTTCAAGCAACTTCAATTATGCTCAGTAAATCATGCCCTTCAACAGTAGAATCATGAAGACAGCAACATTTGCTCCCTCTTCCAAGCAAAGCTGTCACTAGTTGGCAAGTGTTATAATGACAGCTTGAGAGTATCTCAATGATCCCTGTTCACAGTGCATGGCCAGCTAATATAATTGTGCCTCTGCATACACTCAAGTTGGTAAAAGTATATTGGTGTGCTACACAACTCAAACTTGTTATTATGGCTGTAGGCTGCACACTTGCTAGCACTGGTTAGCAGCTTACCTTTTCAGATTCTACAAAATGTGTAGCGATGCCAGCTTTTAGGACATCTCTTCCTTTCAGCCTAAATCCTGTTAGTGCAAGGTAATAGCCAATCTTTCCTGATAGTCTTGGCAAGAAATATCCTCCACCTACATCAGGAAAAAGGCCTGTAATAAACAAAACAAAAATGTGAAGGGAGAACTTGTCCTAATCATGCATGTAACTTAGTAGCTATGTCTTCTTGTCTCACTTTCATCTCCCTGACTTAGGCATAGCTCTCTTGCCCAAGTTTCTCCTCGACTTGGTTTGATATTTCTCTGTCATCAAAACCCTTCCTAAAAGCAAACTCTTGAACACCTTCCAAAATATCCTTTCCACTGGCACATAATTTACAAACATATACCAGACAATAGTGTTCATTCTATTTGCCAACAACTTGAGACATTTTTAGACGCCTGAAGAATCAAGTGTGCTCTCAGCAAAAAACAGAAGTGAACAGAACAGAATTGTGAAATAATTTCTACAAACTCAAATTGGATGCTGCTTTTTCTTTGCAATCTTTTATTACAATAAAAATATCAAACAAAGATGAAGTGCCTCTTGCACAGCCACGTTTGAACCAATTTGGGGGCTAAGAATTCATTAATAGATCAACGATATTGCCAGGGTGTCCCTGAAGGTGGAGGCGTGAGATGCTGATCTAATACCTGGCTCTTTGATGGGACTATGACTAACCTGCAATTTAAAAAAAATTACAAAATTTCCCAGTTTAGTGACTGTCTTACATTTATTTATTTATTTATTTATTTATATCAACAGAGTAGGGTAATTTTTAAAAATTCAAAGCTCTGAATAAAATTTATAAGACTTTAAAGTTGTAATTGAAAAATATATAACTACTTTTATCAAAGTTTAAATATTTAAAATCATCACTTTGTCAATATCTACCTTATTCTGTTATATACATTAATCACCTACAAAATACATTCAAACGCTTATTGTAACTTTTAACATACTTAAACTTAAGAAAACTTAAGCTTAGCTGTGTCAATCTCAGAAATCAAAATGGAAAGAAGCAGTGTCCAGTTACTACTTCAAAATAATCACCAATATGGCATTCATGAAACTGAAAGTGTTTTGAAGAAATTAAAGGTGTGGTGTTGGTTTTGTTGTGGGTTTTTTTTCCACTTTGAGAGAATAAATGAAGCATGAAAATAAATAAAGAATACAAATGAGCAATAAGAAACTCAGAAAACATTTGCCAAAACAGAGATATTAACTGGGAAGATTAAGATGTACATAAGGAGTTTAAATGGGGTTCTGACAGAAGGCAGTAATTTTTCACTCACAAGTAATTGCTTTCAGTCACAAAAGAGTCAATGTATGTATAAGAGAAAGACTCTATTACAAGTACTTTAAGATGTGGGAAACTAGTGGTCCCTGAATATTCCTCCCCCTTGGACGGAATCAAGGGGAGATTTCTTACAGACAGCTTCTCTTCAGTGTTTTCCCAATAATCTTTACAGTTCATCACTGCCTTATGTTCTTTCTTGCCCATCTCTCAGCTTTTCCTCTGGTTCCTTCTTGGTCCTCTCTTAGTTCTGCTGACTCTAACACATCACAAAGTTGGTTTTAGGAGCTACTTCCTATCAGTTATAGTTGTAGTATTCTGTTCCCATTCCCACTGATGTGTGTGTTGCCATTAACTGATTTATTCCTCATCCCACAGACATACGGCTCTTCCCCTAAAATGCTGAATGTCTTGTTGGCACCCTTTAAAAGCCCTAAGCTGTATTAACCCCAATTCACCACTTACCTTCTTTTTCATCTGTACTCCCATTCTGAATAGTCTACTCTGCATTTTACCTTCTCAGTTTGAGCCATCATATCTATAATGTTGATGCCAAGACTGTAATTTAGTTTTATGTTTCTGTTCATCTGTCTCCCCTTGGATATCCTATTACTGCAGAAAAATCCCTCATTTCAAAATGAAACTTCTCTTACAAATGCTCTCCAAAGCAAAAAGGCAATTACATTTTTCTCCTCATCCACCAGGACTGCAACAGCAACCACCTTTTCCTCTTTGCTGTAATTAAAATACTGATGCTGAAGTACTATTCTCCCCATGCTCCTGTAAGTTTCCAGAGGAAAAGCCATCTTCCTCTTGGGATCTATAGGGCCCTTCCACATGGCCATACACGGGGAAATTAGTTCTAAATAAACTATGATGTTGATTAGCTTAAGTTGCTTTAGAGGCAAATAAAACTAAATTGAATGGTTTCTTTAATTATTAAGGAATTTACAAAAAGGATTAGTGAAGGTGTAACTAATCTACTTTAAACTTACTTGATTGCATAAACATAGTCTGCTGTAGCTTCTACTGTATCCTTTTCAAGGACCCTGTCTTCCTTATAATTTTACTCCTCTTGTCCCTGTTCTACATATTCCTCCTAATTCTCTCAGTAATGCTTCCCATATGTTTCTGCTTGCTGCTGGGTTCCTCTTAACAAATTCCATATATTTGATTTTTTTTTTTCTTTTTGATAGCATTTACCAATTATTTCTCAAATCCCTACTTACATAAAAGAACTGAACGTCTGCTGGGCTGATCAGGATAAAAGCCTATGCCTGCAATGCTGACTTGCAGTCTGTGCTCTGAGACAGATGCAAGATCCTTCACTGTAATCCCAACTGTGAAACTCTGCAGTTGCCAAGCATAAGATAAAGGTAGCGCTACTACATTGCTACCTTATCTTGCAGAGGTGATTGGAGATTTATTAGTAAATGACTTATAGAAAACTAAAAACTTAGGTGGATATATAAGAAAGTGTCCACTATTTTTACACCACCACCTTAAAGCCCACCTCTTACAATATACTTTCATCTTTTGTTCTTCCCACCAGTGTTTTTTCCATACCCTCCTACATCTAAGCTGCTTTCCAGTGCTTTATCTTATCTATGTCAGTTTCAGACTCCTACAATCTAGAATTGCCTTTTATTTCTATTTGCACAGTGGAAAATCTATCTACTTCCTTTTATTTATGGTTGTGTATAAATGCAGAATAACTGTGTGAAAATGTAGCAGCTGAATGAACGCTTTGTTTTCATTTCACAGAAAAGGTGTAATGCTTACTGAAATAAGTGAACATATGAAAAAATCAATTAATACAATATCTAGACAGCTAGACATTTTAAACATACACCAGAGATCAAAACAGCTAAGCCCTCAAATCCAAACAGTTTTCAGTGGTTTTACTTCTAATAGATCCTAAAACGGTTTTAATTACTTTCTTTCCTAAGCAAGTTCTAAGCTTTTCCTTTACATGTCTTCACAGTCTATTTTAGTTTAAATAAGTTCTTGTCAACACAAGAAATGTATGTAAAGTACATAATTTTTGTTACTGTAAGACTACTCATATCTACCTTTGAAGAAGAAAGTGAAGAAGGTATCTTTATTATTAGAATAATTTTATATGCCAAAGAACCTCTCTGTTTAGTTTAAAAAAAAAACCCAAAAACAATTGTTTCTTTCAAATGGGTATCTTGTACAACAACTGATTATGAACTTCAGGGGATTAGCAAATTCATGTTGTATTAATGCTAGAGCTATTTAGTTTACTAAGTTTTCCTTCAGCACAGAAAGATATTTGGAGGGCTGCAATAGTTTTTGCTTTTCTCATCCCACACTTAATTGTTCAGAAAAATTACATGACATTTATCAACTAGCAGGAATTGCTCTAATATTTTTTTAGGAGTTAAAATGATAATGAGCTTGCTTATATCTGGGGGCTTGTTTATGTTTTATTTGACTTGACACAGTTCATTTAATATTTTTGGAATTTTAGAATGAGTCTTGTGAAATGTTTCATACAGGCTGGATAGCAATAAACATTAGATAATATGTGTAAGAGACCCTTTAAAAATATGAAAAATGCTAGACCTTTTAAGCATTACTAACAGGGGGCACTACAAAAATCCAATCATTGGCTAAGTGTGTGTTTTAACCTTAGTTGTAATGACATTATTGTATTTAAAATATTTTCAACAAAAGCAGAATTTTATAACTTTTATTCTCTCTTCAGAACCAAGTCCTGATTTTTTTTAATGTTATTTCTTAGTTTTAATATTATGTAACTGTTTGGAAATCCTTGTAAGAAAATAGTGGTCACTACTCCTTACAACTAATTCTTTGAGGTGAAACTAAGATCAAACCTAATAGCACCAGACATGGTGCCATTTAAGCTGTTTAACCACCAGATAAGGTTCTCTATTCTGAATAAATGTGTTCAACAGGGCCACATATTACAGACTAGCCTCATTCTGCTGCTTGAGGACATAAAGATAAGAACAACTGCAATCATCCTTCAGCTGCCTTGCCTTGGAAAGATGTAGAAACTAGAAATTTTGCAGGAGAGAAATACAGGATAGGTTATAGGTTTTAAGCACTCTTCATAAACATTGTTGATAAGCAGGGAGAAAGGACTTGGACATTACTGAAAGCATTAATGGAGTATGTATGCCAGCCAATAACAGGTTCAATGTTGGTGCCAGGATTGTCTTGAAGAGAAATGTGAATGATTTCACAGGAGGGTTCACTTTAATCTGACTGACTTTTCTTGAGCCATACCACCATCTTCACATAGCTCTGAGACACAACATTTTCTTTTGTACATCTCAAGAGTTGACAAAGAAGCTGTAGGATCAAACATTAGAAAACACACAAGGTACATGTTGCTATTTAAAAAAAAAAAAAAGAGACTGTGATCTTGCCTGCACACAATCTGTACACAACATTAATAATCTACAAGAAAAACTGGAATTTAAAAATCTGTCTCATTAACATTGCAGATAAGCTTGTAGTACAGCCAGTTCAACTCGTACTGAGTTGCAAATGTAAAGTTGACGTACTTGCACTGGAATCTTCAGACTTTATCTGTCTACAACTGTAGCAAAGACTTAGTTCCTCAGATCTACTTCAATTTTTAAAAAATTGTATCCTGACAGTCTTTGTGTCAGTATAGACAGTAAACCCCAGGCTAAGAACATCAATGATCAACCTCCCAGAATACAGATACATTTCTATTAATATAGGAGAAAATACTTTCCATATATGGTCATCTCCAATTCCTTTTTAAACTTCTTTCATTACCACCACTGCTTTCAGTCAAAGGCATTTCATCATGATTACACAAGTAGTGAAATTTTAAACACATTAACATGTGATAATCTGTTAAAATACTTACCTATTGCTGTTTCTGGCATTGCAAAAAGTGTCTTTTCTGTAGCAACTCGGAAATGTCCATGGACTGAGAGGCCAACTCCCTATGCATGGAGCACAAGCAAAGGACAGAGTTATAAAACTACTGGTAAAAATAATCATAACCATAATCCTATGTAGCACACCTCTTGCTTTGCTCTACAATTAAATAATATTAGATTTACCATGCACATCTCAACAAAATATTAAAAGGCCTTTTACAGTTCAAATGCTAATAAAGCATCATATTACCTTTATGATTTAGCTGAAATAGCATTCTATGCTTTAAAAAGACTGATGAGTCATACAGAGATTAACTTAAAAAACCCACGAGTGACAGCAACAGAAACGAGTGACCCCATTTTCTCAATTAGACTACTAAGGGAGTTGACATCCTTTTGCTAATGTTATCCCAACTATAATTTTTGCACATACTTCAAACCACCAACAAAACTAACTTTGGAATATACATGAATTGCACAAAGTTATAATTATAACCCTTTTAAAAGAAATAATAATTAACTATTCTTATAATGTGATAATTACCTATTTTATCAATGCAGAAGTACTTTAAGCAGGAAAAGCTTTCGGCATTATTGATTAAAATTCAATGTGGTTATAAACTCAATTATTTAACCTGGGGACTTTTGTTCTCCAAGTCAGACGTAGAATTCACATTTCTAAGCACCTGGCCCTCTTCTCTAGCAGTCCTTCCTGATGTGTCCCTTCCCTCAAGAGCAGAAGAGCTCCTGGTGTTGTCTATCATATTTTCTGATTTAGGCAGTGAGCAGCAGCAAGGCCCAATAAAAATATATTTTTTCAGTTCACACAAAATTAATTTCATTTAGATAAATGTTCAAGAGGCAAACTGACAATTTTAAAGAAAAATGGTTATCTGACAAAGTTACTATTAATTATTAATAATATTTGAAGTAATCCAAGAATATTTGAATTACTGGGCATAACCACAACATATGGGTAAAGAAGTCTCACTTGTCAAAGCTTATCTACATGATGCATGTCAATAGAAATGTGTGTTAGAACCCACCTGGAGACAAAACCCTCTACTGAGTATTCCACAAGAAGTTTCTTCATACAAATATTTTTGCTCTCTTCCTTTCCACTGTTTTAGCTTACTTTCCTCACTGTTAAATTTCCCTTTGCTTAGTCATTCTATCCATCCAATTTTGCTGTTAGAACTAAGATATCTTAAATATCATTGGCCAAAAGAAGTCAGTGTCTGATGAAGATGTAATAGATTTTTAAGTAACATTTATAATTGTTTAGATACTAGAAAAATGACACATTACCCAGCTAAGGCTACTAGTCTTCACAAAAGTCTTCACAGTATTTCATACTTTCCATCAAAAACAGTGGGATTAATTGGGTGATACTTGCTTGGACCTGCATTATATATCTGATAGGCTTTTAAGGGAAGAGTAGAATGTAGTAGAAAATCTTTTTCATTTTGCCTATCCACAGAGATCTTTGGGTGTGTTTTACATTAAAATTTTAAAAAGTTATCTCAATTTAATAAAAACTACATCCATTTCGTCACACCATTCTCACACATTCTTCCCTGGCCTTTCTTACAATTCTGCCCAGCAAGAAATTAATTGTGACTGCTTGTTCCATTAAGGCGATACATGACTAAATTTGAAAACACCTTCAAGGTTTTGCTGTAAAATGAATATCTGCCAGTGTCGAGTTTTAATATAGATGTATGAAGTTTTTAAGATTCCAGTCTAATTTCCTGAAAAATGGACACTTAAGGTAACTAGTTATCACACTTCATTTTATATCCAGAGACTAAGCCAAATCTATACACATGAAGTACTGGTGTTTCAAGGAGGCAAATGGGATTTGAGCAAATACCCAAATCTTATTTGCATAGGGTCCAATCCTATGTCTCATCCCTTATCTGTCCTTCAGGCCTTTCATTTGAGGACTGGTCAGAGGCTGTAGATCTCATCTGAGCAGCAGCAAGGGCAATGGACTTGTATTTAGTTCTCTTGCAAGTGTAAAGCTACATTCACTCCTAAACCAGCTCTAAAACTCTTAAATGAAATGTAAATGTGACTTCATCACTTCCAACCTTTTTATATATCATAACAGCATACTTTCACTGCATTTGGTAAAGACTGCTGTTATTTTTATGCATGTTCAGCAACAATGACAACCTTTTTATAAAGATAATGAAAGTAAAAGAATCATGCCCATTTTGCTCTTTCTAATGCTTAAATTATTTTTTTTTCTAATCCTGCATCTAAGAATACAAATACTATCTATCATAAAGCATTTTTCTGGCTTATTTTCTAGACAATCAGAAGTTTGTTTAAGGACTCAAATTTTCAGCTTGAATAGTAAGTAACAAGGACTAGAGTGTGAACTCCATGAAGAAAGCTTCTCCCAAGCTTGTTTTGTTTCTAGTGATAAAAGTAACTGTAGAGTTTTAATAATAAAAAGTTGAAAGAGGTAATTCTCTTTTGAAAGAAGTAATTAAATCAGATTTCACTTTCTCAAGTGCTTAAGCCATAATTGGATTTGTTTTCTAGATAGCTTGAAGTTTTATAGTCTAGATAAAAGCTTAATTTCAGATATATATTTAAAAGACTAAAACTGTATTTTCTTCTTATCCATTATAAAGAAAATGGTGCAAATATGTCCTTACTTCTTTGAAGATAATTTCTAAATAATCCAACATTAAGATAAAATTAGGAGAGAAAAATGAGTTAATGCTTTGAAGGGTACAAACCCCAGTAATTTATTAAACTGGTGATCATATGCTTTCATACATTTGTTTACAACTTCCTAAATGGTTATTTTAACACATTCCCTGTATGTGTTTAACCTTCTCCATCTAATACAGAGGATAGATGCTTATTAGTTTAATAGTATCCTGCGTAAAGAATGAACTTTTCCAGTCAGAAGTCTAAATGCATTCCCCCTCTGTTTCTGGATTTTGTAATTATTTTTTTTTTAAAAACTTTACTGAAATCTTACACAGCTGGAGCCCCACCTAGGAGGCCCTTCATACTATTAAAATACCTGCAGTTGGGCTGTGCTCACTTCACCAAATAGTCCCAGCATTTACACATATAAGTCTTGATGCTATAATGTCTTTATTAAAATACACTGTATCCTGCACTGTTGGTCCTACCTTTCATCATCTTAAAATATATACTAAAGCTAATGCCTTCCTTCAGACTTTTCCAGGATAATAGATTCCTATGGTGAATCAGGCTTGTTTTCTAATCCAGATAGTTTATCTTAATACTGGCATGAAAGGTTTTTTTCCACTGACAGCTGAATGTTTGAATTTTGTAAAGGATACTTAAAGAATGAGACTAGAAGTTGAGGAGTTAAGAAATTAACAAGAATCAATTTAAAAAACCTTTCTGTAGGGTTTATATATGAATTAATCAAAAACATAGAGCAGAAATGGTGGTCTGACAATGTATTACTGGAGACAGATTGGCTATGAAGGTGTTTGGTTACAAATTACAGTTTTATTACTACATGGATATGAAGATATTAATCTTAAAAACAGTGTGTTACAACTCAACTATTAGACTCAGTGCACCTCAAGGAGGCATATAGCATTATAGACACCTTGGTCTGAATTCCTCAACAAGCTTCTGAAAAAGCCAGTAGAGTATCTGAATTTTACTTCCCATACACGTGATTTCCTACTCAATGCCATATTTCAAAAGTCATGCGACTGTGTATAGAAAATTTATCATTGATTTCCATTTTTTTCTCATGATGAATACAGAACCTTATTAAAAGTATTTTTCTAATGAAAAACAAGGTGCAAATTACTGATAGATGGAGAAAGGGAATACAGCTACTATAAATCTTGGAAGTTGTAGCCAGAGGGCTGTATTATCTTAAATTGAGAATGACCCATATTAGTAAATCAGAGAACTCATCACATTTAGAGAAGTTATTAAGAAATTGAGGGCCACCACAACAGAGAACTGTACAAAGAAAAATAAATATGCCCTTCCTGAATGACACATGTAAACATCTGTTCACATACAGAAAAGTAGATCTGTGTCACAGTAAAACCATAAATCACGCTTGTCTATTTACTAAATAACCTAACTCAGACTGTAAAGGAATCACTGCCTAGGAAAGCATAAGCAACAGAATAAAAGAAATACAAACAGAAAACGTCTTCAGGAATGTTGCTTGTATCATCTTCACTAGGATGATAAAGAATTTTTAGCTGTTCAAGCAAACAATTTTATGATAATACCAATATTAATATTGTCTGCAGTGAAAGTCCTGTTGTAACTGCACATCCAATGATTACACTCATTTTTAACTGCATGAGAATACAGTTCCTGGTAGGTCTAGGACCACAAAAGAAATGTGGCAATCAACAAACAAACTGAACATAACACAACAAAGGGCAAATATACCTGAATACAGATGTGTAAAAATAGCCAAGGTGCAGGAAAAATGTTTTCAAAAGCATTAGCTGGCAAAGTAAGTGAGTGGAATTGATTCAGGAAGCAGCAGGAGCTTATAGCTATGTTAGATCAAAAATCACTGATGTAAGAGCATTACCCCCTGCATCCACACACAGCAAATCTTAAACTGAATCAAAATTAATCTTTGTTCATCATTAATGTTATGGACCACTCCAAATAGTATAATCCATTTTTATCTGTAGATACTAACAGACAAGATCACTTGGTGACCCAGAACAATGCAGCATAACAGATCAATTTGGACTAAGAATATAATTTTCTTTGGTTGATGACATATAAATCAACTCTATACAAGTATTTTAAAAAAATCATTAAAAAACAGTGCTTTTTGTGAACTTTTCAATCATTTAGTGTGGTATTTTAAAACATGTAATGCTAATGTAATATAATTTAAATATAAAATATTAATTTCCACATACTGATTACGTGTTAGAGATTCTCAGTCCAAATTCCTACATACATACAGAAGCACAATGAGCTGACTAGAGATAGATTATCTGTAATAATATCTGATGTTTCAGTCTTGTTCTCCTGACCCCTAATTATTTAAACAAATTTGATCCAAC